CGAATATGGTGCAAAGATTGAAAAAGTTTTTTCACCTAAAAGTCGATTTTTCCTAGTAGGTCATTGTAAGACTTGTGGAACGATGGATAAGGTCAACTACCATTTTTTTACACTTCATTGTAGGAAGCCGTTGGTGCCTGCCTGTTGGCGATAACAAGAGATAATATTATCTGAATGCGGTTCCTGTAACCAAAAGTGCTGATATAGAATTTATGTAGTGGTAATTTCACTGCAAGCTTTAGAAAATGCCAATTAAACATACGGGAAAGTTTTAATGTAATTCAATGGCCAAAAATGACCGTTTTCGTTAATAAAGCGCCATTTTGTCCAGTTAATTAATGATAAGATAGGTAGGGATTAATCGGAAGAAGAGTTTTGGGGCATTCGTGTCTTAGCTGTGAGTCCGAACTCGATACATGATCTAGAGAGAAAAGTATGTGGATTTCTATTCCTATTGACTTTTGTTCCTGAGCCATATTCCTGAAAGTCAATAGCGTCCTTAGTACCAGTACACCAAATTTTAACACGATCGGTCACATTTAAAAAGAGTTATAGCGCATACGGACGGACGAATAGACGGACAAAAATTAAAAGGTATGAAAAGTATCTGAGGACCTTAACTAAGAGTTATAGCGAACACAGACAGACGTGCGGAAAAAAGGACTGACAACCATAGATAACTATATAGGATCTGAGGATCCCTAATAAATACGGTACGGTACTTAATCGCAAAGCAAAATGAAACGGTACGGATGCAAAGAAATGTAACTAGCGAAAGTGAAAATAGCAACAAGATTTAAATGCGGTACGGTTGCAAAAGCAATTTTACGGCAAAGCTGAAAATGTCCGTACTTACACAACGTGACTGGCGAGGATGCGAAAGTCAAAAAGATCCCATTTCATACTGCCTTTTCTATTATTTTATCTAAACGTCCATTTTGGGCAGGGATCAACTGGAATGCCCGCTCCGTCCGCTTATACCTTCGATACCAAACAAATTAAAACGTTTTTAAATAATTACGCCTTTCCTCGGCATCGGAAAAATACGGAATCGATGTTCTTTTGAGATAAGACCCAGATTAATCGGGCGGATTTTCTGCAACTCATTTATTTAGCTAGGTACTGTTATGTTCACGCACTTCATTAGCCGTATTCAAATTTTCAAATTAAATCAATTACCTTTAGCTTCTACCTTCATCTCCTAGACCCAACACAAATACCTTCCGCACAACACTTTCGCAACGAAGCGACTCTTTATACCGGGCGTTCACAGAGTGGTCACCAAAACTGGTGAAAACTGGGTGCTTCGTTACAATCATCTTTGAGCATATTTATACCCGTTACAACTTGCACAGCAGAACAATGGGAAAATTACACTTCCTAGTAGGATCTGCAGATATCTTTAAACGAATCGCGTATGTTTGTCCGTTGAATGTTATCACTGATAGCCAATTGCACCGACAAAATTAAGTATCGCTTAAAGTTAAGCATAAGTACTTAAATGCCATAGCAACGATTGTCTTAATAATCGTTGCCATAGATTTGAAGTTCGACTTAACTTTAAGTAAGGCTTAATTTTATTGGTGCAAATGGGCATGAGACTATAATCTCTGTGCGCTTACCAACTTTGTTACGGCATAATAATTTGGGGACACATTTAAAAGCATAATTTATCTACAGATACTAGTAATAAAAAAGGAGCAAACATAAAGAAAAAACTAGCACACCAGCGATCCAACTTGCATACTGTCATTGTATTTATAAAATACAATGATACTACTTATTTAAATTGTGCTGATCTTAGGGACCCCCGATGTAGCAATGCAATCTTGACTTACCCAATATTTACAGCGGGCAACTCTGAGGTAGAAGAATATAAGCACAGCCATCTAACGTTCATGACGAGTACTTTAATTTCCGAGTTTGGTAATGTCATTTTACTGACGAGTTTTGTATTAAATTTTATCCGAAATCCTATTTTAATATAACATTTCAATTTTTATATAGAACTCTTGATTAATGTCAATCTGTCAATGATGACAGGAGTCATTTAACAATTGTCAAATTTGAGCCCGGTATAGTGACGGGGCGGCCAGTAAACTGACAAGTGCGGCCAGTAAAGTGAAAAGTGGCAGGAAACGTAGTCTGCTCTGCTTGGGTCATGGAAACTCAAATTTCCTGACAGAAATTACGCATGACAATGGAGGTTTCAGGGCGCCTTTGGGTAAAATAAAACTGTTCTCTACGGAACAGTTGGTGAGTCCAACATATAGGGTAACACTACACTGATAACCTACTTCCGTGTGAACAAAACAATATAAATGCATAAGCACCTGTATAGTATGACAAACAAACATGATTCACTAACGGTACAGATAACATAGCTCGGAGCACGTCGTGCTTCAATAAACAAATATCAACATTATGCAAAATGTAAATAATAACAAATTGTGACATGAAAATCATATGGTTAGTGCGAGAAAGAATAAAATGATTACTGCCAACAAAATAAACATTGAGAAAACCCGGTACGCGTGCATACTTCAGAAGCCTTCGGAACCTAGCCCACAACACGCCACAAATAGATAAAACATAACTAAAATATAAATAGAAGACATGCAAAAGCAAAAAGTACACCAAAAGCTTCCTGCACACAACTTTTTGCCAAGCTTTGTCGCGAAAATCCCTGTTCTTCTGGAAAGTAAATGGAAAATTAAAGATCGATTCAATAATAGGTACCTTTGTTTATTTATTTGTTGTTATTTAACCCATTGCTAGTACCATGAGTAAAATCCAAGGGGAGTATTGGGTATAAACAAACAGTATAAGACTTGCTTGTGTTAAGTACAAAAGTTTGTAAATATTGTTTATTTAGTCTAGCATTTGTATGTTTTGATTTAAATGAAGCAAGGTAAATATTGTTCTCTGATTGCCTGAACGGCGTGTATTAAGTTATTAATAAGTAAATAGTTGCTGAAATAAATGATACAGTATGCAATTTTCCGCGTTCACTGAATCGTTTCTATAATAATCTCACACCAATAAATAATAACTTCTCCCTAGCACCATAGTGTAAGTTACACTAAGCTAGCACTTGGAAAGTACCTAATATCTACTAGGACCGGCTTCCGTAACTTTACTGCCCTCCAATGTCATCGTTGACTCAGCTAGAATCAAAATTAAGGCCACTGAAACCCTCTCCGTCAGTGAACTCACTTCTTTTCTTTGCGAATATGATCTTTTCAATTTCGATCGCGGGTAGCTCAAACGCTAAAGTTACGAGCGTCGCGACGAACAACGTAAACGCAAAGTCGCCCCAAAACTGGTGCATCTGTAAACAGTTCAACTTACTAAGATGATGCTACTATGTCGAGTAGGTACATACCGCCTCCAAGTTGCGAAACAGTACAGTTGTCCTCATTTGACTTGTTAGAACAAAAATGACGATGTAATGTACAACGTAAAGTGTGTAAGTAAAACGCGATAGCACTTCAAATATGGGCAACGAAAGGAACCAATTTACTGGACCTGAAATGGTGGTCTACTGGGTTTGTGGTTACAACATCTTCAGCATTACCTGCGTAACCATTGGCACATGTAAAAATCACGGCGGCTACAGCTAAGGCCCAGGCCGGGCGGACCAAAGCTATGTAAATTGCGTTTAAAACCCTGCGATATTCTGATGTAATCAGATTGTGTCCCCCAAATACAATTGCGCACATGACCATCAAGCTGAGAATACACAAAATTGCGACAATCTTCTAAAACTCATTTGTCCAATCGTTAACCGAGGATGAAAACTCACATACCGTAGACAGCTCATACCTCTTCTTTTTGGACAAGTATAGGTAGTAGCCCAATATAATTCCTATCAACCATGGTGCTGCTCTTGTATAGGCGGGAAAATAATACTGCCAAACGAATACCATCTGCTTTTCAAAGCTAGGGTTCCAACATGGACTCATTGTACCGAAAAAATCCCTACTTACTCTACATTTCCCTGCATTATACCATTAAGCTCAAAAAACCAACCTAGCAAAAAACATCCGACTATATTGCAAACAATGAGCGCTACGATTCCATAAAGGGTACGTTTCGGCCATCTGGATAACGCCAGCAGAAAGATCGGAGAAATCACAAACAGCTGCATATCGGCGCTCAAATACCAACCGTGAGGGATGCACTCAATTCATTATTGTAGCAGTTAAAAACACTAAAGTTGCGTACCATTGAAGGCGTTCGATCATAATTTTGAATATACAACAGCGTCTTCCACCAATACTTTTCGCAACCCTCAATCAGTTGTGAGTGAATCATGCTCGACCAGAGTGGGCCCGATGCGAATTGTCTGAGCAACGTGACTATGAAAACGATTACGGCGACCAAAACGGGAGTTAATCTGAAAAACTGCATGCCGTAAGCAACTTCTATTAGCATCTAAGCACCTCAAAAACCGGTGGAGATAGAACTTGAAAATATGAAACGAGGTGCTTTTCTCGGCGGACCAGAGGTAAACGTAGGTTACAAGAATTCCAGATAGCAGAAAGAAGGTGTCAACTGCCATTTGTGCATTTATCATAAACATATTTCCTGCACTTCGCGTCCACTGAAAATTAAAGAATTACGCAGAACTGCGCGAACACGATGCTCTTACGGTCTCCTTGTAGAAGTTATTCCACAGAGGGAAGTAGAATTGTACGGAGTATCTGTGGTCTAGGATGATCCACATGGTGCTGATAACTCGAATTCCGTTCATGCAAGTTATTTGTTTGGCATTGTTTTCGATGGCGATCAGTTTTTTGCCATTTTTAAGAATGGAAAACGCGACAAGTGCCTGATGCTTGACTTCTGCAAGTGAGAATTTAATGTTAACCAGGTTGCGAATACTTACGTGATTCAGTTGTGTACAGATAGATGTCGTAAGTTGTGGAAGCGGCAATCACCAGCGCGAATATTCCGAAAAATACCCTGGAAATGGACACTGAATGAGATTAAAGCTTCAAAACACTTACACTCCACAATATTCCGATATCCCAAACCGTAGTTTGTCTCGATCAGCGAATGTTTGGCACAAATTTTCTGGGAACGAAATATTGAGTCCGAAATACTTGTATATTGTAGACGCATCGGCAGTGGAACAGCTGTCTGGTAAGCAACTTGCCAGTTTCAGTGTTATTGTCGCATTTATCTGTAACAAACATAAAACAAGGTACTTAAGTTGTTCAACTAAAGGAAAGACCACATTGTATTTGTAACGTTGTTTTTATCATGGGATTGTAGTAAGTTAAAGGACGCACGTTGCAGAGGTGATCAGTGGAATGGAAGTGAATGCGGGAAACGGTTTTGAGCGCTCGATGTGTTAAGATCGCATGTTGATCGTACTGGTGTAGAATTGTTAAGAAGCGGGTCCATTTTGTTGAGAACCAAGCTCATAAAGTGGGACTTACTGAATCACTCGAAAGTACTTACCACTAATAAAGTACCAAATTAACAGTGACGGTGAACTACCGCGTAATTAAAAGTGATAATTACAGTGCGTGGGAAATAATTATAGTTTGCGTTGTACAAAAAACATCGATAGCTAAATTAGGAGAGAGGGCGACAATCTTACACAAGATCGCGCAAATAAATCTCCCAATAAATCTAAAAATTCCAATTACTAATGGTTGTCCAAAGAAGCAGCGTTTTGTTGAGTTATTAATACAAAGGGCTTAGGCAACATCTGAGCTAGCCTTAAAGTAAAAGTACGAAAGGTAGGACCAACCTTACTAACCACGAAGGAACCAGAAGAAGATTGTAAGAAGAATTTAATTATTATAACCACGAACCTGAGGTCTTTATGAATAATCACAGTGTTAATGAATGAGCAATTTAAACTTGCCGCGTTTTTTGTTACTTTCGTTTCAATGATTTCAAATACAATTTTAGTTACCTGCGCATAACTAATGCGTGCACAGAATGATAAACAATTTTTTGATTTCAATTATTCGTATAGAGAGTTAAGTAAAAGCAAGCAGAGCAGTTAAAACGTTTAGTTCTTTTAGGTGATTGGGGTGAGTTTTCCTTGTGCCTTTCCTTCGCCACCCCATTCACAATTTCAAACAAGTTTAAGACGATTCGCCGAAACTAAAGGTAAGATTTACTTAATAGATACAGTCCGCTCATTTACAAATTAATGGTCCTTACGAGCAATGGATGTTGGTTTTTCTTAATATGTATGCATTTTAATGCAAAAAGATAAAATATGCCAAACCGCATATTTTAGTGCATGTGTTAGTCGCTTATCTCCGAAAAATTGAGGATTATCTTCAAGGTTAAACAGCTCAATCAAACCGTTTCCAAAAAAATTTAAATTTAATTTTATTGCTTTGTCAATTGCACGTTTTAGATTGTTTCAAATATGTCCGAGAAGAAGACGCTGATTGCTCAACGGGAAAACTTACATAGTTTGATGCAAGCGATCAATGATGCTGTTATCCAAGTTAATGCAATGAAATAGATGTTGCTACAGTTAAAAAATCTCGGGTTGGTCCTCTTGTACAACAATATACAGAGTTAATTAACCAAATTTTAGATTTCAATTCAACGGCGGAAACTAAAGAACATTTAAAATATGAACAACAACGTAATGCATTTTTTGACCTTGTTGATAATATCGAGCTTTATTATTTGCGTTTATCACAAAGAGCTCAAAATCAAAATGTATCTCAAACTACGAATCCATCTGTTACTAAACTAAAGGCTATAGCAATTCCCACGTTTAGCGGAAAGCTTTGCGATTGGCAGCAATTTAAATGTTTGTTCGACTCATTAGTACATAATAATAGTAGTTTGGATAACACTCAAAAGCTTCAGCATCTTTTGTCATCTTTATCTGAGGAGGCTAGTAAATTAGTAGCGCATGTAAAATTATCTGATGCCAATTATGAGGTGGCTTATAATATTTTGGTTGATAGATTTGAAAATCCCAGGCGGCTGGCTAACCATCACTTAAATATTTTGATAAAATATGATGTTGTCTCATTATCTTCTTATAGCAATTTACAAAAGTTTTATTCTGCTCATCACAGCAGAGTTGGACTGGGTCAAGCATAGAGTGACCCAGTGACCCGTGACCCAGTTAGTTACTGACCGTGACCCGGTGACCCAGTGACCCGGTGACCCAGTTGACCCGGACCCAGTTTGACCCGTGACCCAGCTTGACCGGTGACCAGTTTGACCCAGTGTTGACCCGGTGACCCAGCTTGACCAGTTTGACCCGGTGACCCAGCTTGACCCAGTTTGACCCAGTGACCCAGCTTGGATCCGGTGACCCAGCTTGACCCAGTTTGACCCGGTGACCCAGCTTGACCCGGTGACCCAGCTTGACCCAGTGACCCATCTTGACCCAGCTTTACTCAGTGACCCGTCCTGACCCGGTAGCCAGTAATTAAATTATTGTTAGGTATCATCCAAAACAATTTCAAGTAACTTTTAATTTAAAAAAAAAAACTTCCTCAATAATATTCGGCAACAAGCACGTAGCCCAATTTCATTCAAGAGAACTAATACCTAAAAAAATCAAATGCATTGTTTATAGTTTGTAGTCAAGTAGTCAATGAAAGTATTTAGAGAAAAGATTTATTTGGATTAAAGCTAACTAGTAGAAAAAAATTAAATGTGAAATGAACACCTGTAAGCAAACTGGTAAGCCCTGAAGCAAAGACATCATTATTCTAATACAATTCGGGACATGGAAAGTTTTTTACGGCAGTATTAAAGCAACATCACAGAAATGGCAGTTGTCAAGCAATCGAGTATTATTTTCAACAAACCAGCATTTCATTTATTGTATAATCTGTACACTTGAGCCGAGGGCACTGACTTAACTGCGTTATTCGATCAAACTAGGTGACTGGGTCGAATTGGGTCCCCGGGTGAAATTGCGTCGGGTCGCTGTCAAACTGGTCACTGGGTCACTGGGTACTGGGTCAAACTGGGTCACGGGTCAAGTTGGGTCACTGGGTCAAACTGGGTCACTGGGTCAAACTGGGTCACTGGGTCTAAACTGAAAAGAAGTATGACGTGACCCAGCGACCCAGTGACCCAGTTTAATTTAGTGACCCACCCAGTTGACCAGTGACCCAGTCCATCACAGCGCTGTTCAGGCTTATCATGCTTTAAATGTTCCGGATAAATTAGATTATTTATTATTTCATTTATGTTATTATCACCTCGATCGCGCTACACAAACCGAATTTGACAAAATTTATCCAGCTAGTACTTTCCCTACTTATAAGGTATTAATGGAATTTATTAGCAAAATGCTCAGCACTTTAGAGCTTCACTCGGATGTCACGCCAAAGATCACGTCAAAGTTAGAACCCCAACGTAAATCATGTACGTCATTGCTTGTTGAAAACAAGAACCAAATTGCGCCGTTGTCTGTTCGCTCGTGCCCTTCTTGTAAGGGTACTCACGTATTATCGTCTTGTGAAAAATTTCTGGAGCTACCAGTAGAGAAACGATATGATGTCCTTAAAGAATTTTCCTTATGTTTCAATTGTATGGGTAATCATCCCCGCTTTCACTGTAACTCCACTGGTAGATGCAAAACATGTCATCAGCGTCACCATTCGCTATTACATGTTGAGAGGCCCAGTTTACCGCAAGTCGCAGAACAGCTTACTGATAAACTTGAGTCTTTTCCAGATGCCGAATGTTCAAAGAAAACCCTGTCGTGTCATATTGAACCTAATTTTAAACAGTTTTCTGTACTACTTGGTACTGCTCGTGCTTATTTACGTTCTAGCAATGGACGCTATAAACTCGTTCGCATTTTATTAGATTCTGCCTCTGAGGTGTCATGTATTACTGAAGCTTGTGTACGTAGATTAGGACTTGAAACCCAACACACAAATATATGTATTTCTGGTATAAGCGAAGCCAAATCGGCTCCTCCCTTAGGAAAGGTGCAATGTTTTATATCTCCATTTGCAAACGGCCGACGTTCAATAAAAAGTGAAGCTCTCGTTTTGCCGCAAATTTCGTCTATGCTGCCTTCAACTCCTGTCGACTGCACTTCAGCTATGCGATTTAATAGCATTCATCTGGCGGACCCTTTGTTCTATGAGCCGAGCGAAGTAGATTTTCTTCTTGGCGCTAATCTGTATCCTGATGTAGTGCTTGACCGTCCGATTATCAGAGGCAAGCCAGCTGGTATCCATACTATTTTTGGATTGGTTTTGTTGGGAGAAATTCCTTCCAATTCAAAACCTATGGTTTCTCAAACTATGTTAGCCGTTAACTCTTCCCTTGAAAGTGCTTTAACCCAGTTTTGGAAAAGTGAAGAGGTTGCTATCGTTTCTCCTGAAAATCCGGAGCACACGTACTGTGAAAAACTTTTTGTTGAAACAACCAAGCGTAACGATGAAGGTCGGTATGTTGTAAAGCTCCCCTTTGTTACCCCAATTATTCCTTCTGGTGTCAACCGCAATGAAGCGGAGCGTCGTTTTTTGTCTCTTGAACGTCGCTTTGCACGCGATGAAAATTTAAAAACTAATTATCACTCTTTTCTGCAAGAATACGAAGACTTAGGGCATATGGAGATAGCTCATAATGCGGCGGATTATGTTATTCCCCATCAGCCTATTTTTAAGGTCTCTTCTACGACAAACACCCGTGTTGTGTTTGATGGTTCCTGTCAGGATTCAACGGGAACCTCTCTTAATGATCGTTCGTGCAAAGGACCCAAACTTCAACGTGATATTTCTCATGTCTTATCTGGTTTCCGTCTTTACGCTGTTCCACTAACCGCTGATTTAAAAATGATGTACCGGCAGATTTTAGTGACTGTTGAAGATCGCAGTTATCAGCATATTTTTTGGCGCTATTTTCCTAGGTCACCACTGCGCGAGTACGAGCTGTGTACTCTCACTTATGGACTTGGCCCTTCTGCCTTTCTTGCTCAGCGCGTTCTTAGACAACTCGTAGCTGACGAAGGCCGCGATTTCCCCCTGGCTTCTTCTATTCTCCTTTTGCAAACGTATGTTGATGACATATGTGGTGGCGCAGATTCGGAGGAAGAAGCTATTAAGTTGTACCGTGAACTGCACGAACTTCTCAGTCGTGGTGGTTTTTTCCCTCGTAAATGGAGCAGTTCTTCCAATTATGTCTTGAATCATATCCCTGAAGAGCACCGCGAGACTC